TTCCTTCACGTTTTATCCAGTTTTTTAGTGTCGGGTCACACCGTCATATCGGGCAAAGAGAGTGCAGACGAGTGTGCCAAAACTGGATCGGCTAAGCCGATTGCGGACGAGGCTAGTGATATACGGAGCCCACTACGAGATTATCTCGCAGATGATGGGCCGTGCTAGAACGAGAGCAGACATCTGACATATGGATCGTCGATCCGTATACTTTGGCACCTGTGCTACATGTAGACTATGGTTGCCGGTGTCATGCACTTGGTCAAAAGTAATGATGCAAAAATAAAGTTGCCATACGGACTGCCTCTCCATGACTCCTGTCGAAGTTGCATGGACGAGTGGACATTTCTGCCTGAGATAGAAGAGCTTTTGTAGATCCAAGGCAGCTGGTGGGTATCGCATTACCTGCCTTTTGCCGCCAAAGTTTTCCCACAGAAGGCATACTTTTCCTACCAAAACTCTCTTGAGTTTCAGGAGCAAGGTGTGAACACTGACGGGAGCTATAACGGGGTACTGTGTTATCGGCCGCATGGCCACGAGATACGGACTGCCCCTCCATGACTCCTGTCGAAGTTGCATGGACGAACGGACATTTCTTGCCTTTGGCCGCCAAAACTATCCTAGGTAAGTTAGTAGAAACCCAAAAAAAACTCCAGGTATTCCAGTATTTTGATCGTAAATTAATCCAATTTTTGATATATCAGTGATAATTTTAGAAACGCAATTTAAAACAGTTGGTTGGGTTTTTATATTAACGATTGATCGTGTTTACTTTCTGTGATACAACCTTAGTACAATTTATTGAAGGTCGTTTCTGCCTTTGACACTTTGATAATAAACACTTTAGTTTAATGATATATGTATATAATAAAAGTGAATTATAGTTGGATACGTTAGGAATGTCTATGAAAATACTACTAAGCTTCGGAATCCTTCGGTTAGCAGACGTCTTTAATTATTTAACTTTTATGAGTTTTCGCTAGTTTCTGGCGTACATTAATGACTTCTATAGTTCTTTTGAATTAAAATATGTTTTAATGTACAATTTGTTCTTAATTGGCAGAACATTTTTTCTACAGAACACTGCAATTAAGTTTCGAGAGTTATTTCAAAGGTTAACTTTTAAAAATTGTTTTATATTGACCGTGCTTTCATACGTCAGATGTAAATGATTTTTTTATAAATTATTTTCATAAAAGTGTATTATAAATAGCCTATAAACTTTTTTTTTTTTAGTAATTTGAACACTGCTGACGTGGTAAGTTACACAATAAGCGGGTGATATTTCATTTGCTTCCAAAAGTTTATGTAAATGTACACATGTAAATATGTACATACATGTATGTACTAGTAAACAAATTTAAATTGTATTGTATTGTTGTATTGTTTGTTTATTGTATTTCCTAGTGCTACAAGCAAGGGGCTTATAACACTAGTCAACACGATTTTTCCTCAAGGAACAAAACGAACTTTTTCTTAAAGATTTGGGGCTTAGAAATGGTTTGATGATATTTTTTTTTTTTCTATGGCAGAACTTTTTTTTGAAGAATTTTTGAAGTCTGGTATTTTTTTTTTAAGCTTTTTTCAGAGGTAGCGATAGTTTTTTTCACATAACTCTAGTATCTTACGTCTGGTTGTAAAGAACTTTGCTATTTTGAAAAGATAATTAAAACAGCTAGAAGTTAAGCCCAAACACTTTGTGATTACAGCTTACCGTCTGGGAAATATAAAGCATTGAAATGCAAAAATGATGATTTTTGTGCGGTATTTTTAACGAAATTTTGACTTTAAAAATTCAGGAAAAGTCGAAAAAAAAAAATATCTTGTGTCCTCTATTTTTTTGTGTATAGGTGCGTTAATTTGGCGTCGTTTAAGGTATCGCTCATTAAAATCTATGGAGAGACTTTGGAGCTAAAATTCGTTAACTAAACCTAAAAAATGGAAAAAATGAACAAAAAATACCTTTTTGAAGGCGGCGAGCCCAACTGCCCATTGGGAACAAAGGAGCGCGATCAGGAACCAAATGTACAACCCTTGTTCGTTTGCTATCGCTACCTCTGAAAAAAGCTTAAAAAAAAAATACCAGACTTCAAAAATTCTTCAAAAAAAAGTTCTGCCATAGAAAAAAAACCATAATTCTTTAAAAAATTTTAAAGCCCCATATCTATCAGAAAAAGTCGGTTTGGATCCTTGAGGAAAAAAAAAGTTCGGTTTTGTCGAGTAGTGTAATTAGAGCACTAGTCACTAGGTGTCACATTAGTTTGGGATTAAACTTAGATCTAAATTAATCTTTTAATATGACATACTAATAAGTGGTTACATATATTGATTTGTTTTCTTATGCTTATGTTCGTGTTATTTTATTTTAAATTGAATTTGATTTTTAAATCTTAGTCTAGTGTAAGGTGGGCACCTAACTGTGTTTTGAATTGTGAAAGGTTTCGTATTGTTTTCATGTGATGTGGAAGATGATTCCATATGCGAATAACATTCACAAAGAAATGTCTCTCAGAGTTTGGTGTTCTATATCGTATGGTGATAATATTGTTCGTTCTTGCGGAATTGGTAAATCTTAATTTTTCATACAGATATTGGGGTTGTCTGATGAGGATTATTTTATGTAGGAACGTAAGCATCTTATAGTCAATCCATTTGAAAAGAGTCATGTCGAAAATTTTATATGAGAATGCAGAGATTCTGTCGCTGCGCCTTAATCTAAATATGTATCTAGCTATATTATTAAAGCAAACGCTCAACTTTTGCCTGTTTTCGTAGCCACAGTTTCCAAATGCCTCAATCCCATAAGTGAGTACAGGTACTAGGTATGCTTTTGCTATCTGCATCCGGATGCTAACTGGTATAAATTGCTTGGTAATATTAAGTGCCCTTAAGATCCCATATGTTTTTCCAACTACTTTGCTCACATGATCATCCCACGACAGAGTACTATTTATTATAAAGCCTAAATTAGTTGTCTTCTCTATGTAGCTAATGGGAGTGTTTGATATTTCTACACGTCTCAATATAGTTTCATTTATTATACCCGACTCAAAAGTTAGGGTATATTAGATTTGTGGTAGTGGATGTGTGTACGCAGAGAGGAAACGTTTCCGACCCCATAGTATATATTTCTTGACAGCATCAAGCCGAGCGATAGCCATGTCTGTCTGTCCGTCTGTCTGTCTGTCTGTCTGTCTGTCTGTCTGTCTGTCTGCGATGAGCCCGACTAAACTATAAGAGCTAGGGCAACCAAATTTGGTTTCCAGACTCATGTGATATCCCACTGCTACAAGGTATTTCAGATTTCGCCCCGCCCCCTTCCGCCCCCACAAAGGACGAATCTGTGGCAGGCACAATTTTAAAGATAAACAAAAACACAATTCGTAGAGATGCCCATATCTACCAGACTGCTGAATCTGAATTAGATCGGATCATAATTATAGCCAGAATGACGAAATTAATTTTCAGTTGCTTCCCCTGCCCCCCTCCCACAAACGACAACGAAACTCATTTCCTCCGCTCGCACACTTGCCGCGTTCAGTGCGCGGAACCCTGCGGAGTGTAGTATGAATAGTACATCTATAATACATGTTAGATGTAAAATATACATTGTGATGTAGATGTAGATAACAGATGTAGCAAAATGTAATATGTAAAATTTTTTTTTTAATTCTAAATCTGAAACATATGCAAAAGTAATACTGACTGGTCGGGTATAGTGGCGCGCTTTAGGCGACTCACAGTCCTTCTCGTTTTTTTCTTGTTTTTGTATATAATCAAGCATTTTGACTTTGTTGGATTGAGGCATAGACGATTTTTGGTTGCCCACGCACTAATTTTCTCAAGCTCTCTATTGGTAACATTTATACACTCATCTATTCGATTTAACGGTCGACTAACATATAATTGGACGTCATCGGCGTACATGTGCACTTTACAGTCGGACAATACTATTGGCAAATCATTTATATAAATGGAGAACAATATCGGGCCAAGTACTGATCCCTGTGGGACACCACACTTAACATAGGCAAAGGACGACATTTTCCCTTCAGCAACAACAGCCTGGCTCCTATTTAGCAGATAGGATGATAGCAACCGTACTGCAGAGTCAGAGAAGTTGTAGGATTCGCGAAGCTTTGCGATGAGGATGCGATGGTCAACTGAGTCAAAAGCTTTAGTGTAGTCAAGAAGAGTTAGGAACGTTACATTTCCGTCGTCTATTCTTTCACGGATATCCTCTACAATTTTTATCATTGCAGTTGTGCAACTTCTATTTGTTCTGAATCCAGATTGATTGTTGTTTAGTAATGTGTGCTCTGTAAGGAATGAATTTATTTGTTTAGCTACCAAGGTCTCGAACGCTTTTGACAGGGTCGGGAGTATGGATATTGGCCTATATTCTGCAGAGTTTGCTTTTGGGATAGGGATTATTTTAGCCTCCTTCCACTGTTCCGGGAACGTTGATGTGGTAATGGCTGTGTTTAAAATGTGAGTAACGTGCATGATGATTCTAGGGAGTATTATTCTCAAAAATTTCGGGTTCATATCGTCTAGGCCAGTAGCATTTGATTTAATCTTATGAATGGATTCTAGAACATCACAAGGACTAACACAACAGAAACTAAAGCTAGGAACAGTATAATTATAGGGCGCTGATGTCAAGTTCAGGGTTGGTGTTGGGTCCGGTACAACTAATTGCAAAAATTTTTTGTTAACTTCATTTACGTCCATGTCAACTAGTGAGTTTCTTGTTTTTTTGCCAATTCCTATACTTTTAATCACTTGCCATTTCTGCTTGCTACACAGAGCGTTGTTAAACTTTGACGAGTAGAAGGCGGTCTTAGCAGAGTATATTAGTTTAGTTACGTTTGATCTTAATGATTTGTACATATTAAAGTGGCTTTCAGTCTTATATCTTTTAAATTTTTTAAAAGCCTCATTTCGTTTGATGATACCCAGCTTTATCTCCGGGGTTGAACCATGAGTTATCTGTTCGTTTGACTGTCTTTCTCTTAATAGGTACATGTTCACAGTAAAGATAGTCAATGTTTGATTGAAGTTGGGCAAGCTGAGAATTTACAGACAACATATAATGTATTGACGTCCAGTCAAGGATGCTAATGTCAGTGTGTAGTTTTTCAAGGTCAATGTTCTTGAAGTCTCTGTAAAAGGTGTCATAATTATCGTAGTCAGGATTAAAATCGTAGGTCAAGAAAATAAGGTCATGTTTTGAATACCCTGGTGCTGTGAGTTGGTCATATAGAAGAATTTTGTCAGTACTGTCGACAAAGAATAGGTCTAGTAGTGTGTTTCTTGTTTTTGTAAAGTGTGTGGGGAGCTGGTGGTTCACTATATTTAAGTCAAGGCTCAACATGCTATCTGCTAATGAGGATTCTCTAAGAATATCACAATTAAAGTCACCTGCTAGGATTACGTCTGTATAAGTCAAGGAAATGTCAGTAATAAGTGATGTCAGGTCTGAGTAGTCAATGTTTCGATTTGGTCGATATATGCAACCAAGAAGCATCTTTCTTCTATTGATGGTGATCGTTAGAAATAAGTATTCTATGGCACTATCTGGTCCTTGCTTACAGAGGATTTTTGCGGATATCTTGTTATTTATGTAAATTGCAACGCCCCCGGCATGCCCTACACGATCAGAACGAAATACATTGTATCCTCTACATTCAATTAACGAGTCACTTAAGTCGGGGACAAACCAAGTCTCGGACACACATATAACATCCACACCAGAGTCGATAAACATATGTCTGAATTCGTCAATTTTTTTTGTCAGGCTTTGTGCATTGATATGGCAGATTTGCAGACCCGATTTTTGCTTCACCAGAATTCTGAGGACCTGAGATGTATTCAAATTTGTTAGTTCTAATGAACCGTCCATATCAAGTGTGTTTTAACACAACGAAAAATTTCATTACAGTAAGTACAGTTAAGGGCCCACTTAAAAATAAAATACAGGAAGGTGGTTAGATGGGTAATACTTATAGCTAACATGAAAAATTTGCCTATGGTTATATTATTGACGAAACGAGCTATTCTCGTCTCCAGCTGCAGGGCTCTCAGTAGCAGCTTGCATCTCACTCAGATCCTCAATTTTAAGAACTTCCCAGATCTCACTTTCTTGGGTCACTTTGACGTGAACCATACCCCTGCGCGTAAACACGGATTGCAGCTTCCGATGCTTCTTCATTTTCAGAGCTTCTCTAAAAATCTGGTAGTTTTCCCTGGTAAGCTGCTCGTTGACATATACTGGGGCTGGTGAGTTTAGGCCGAGAAACTGCAGAGTTAGGGGCTGCTTGGTTTCCCGCCTGTACATACCGATGTTGCGCAGTAATGCCGCTTTGTCGCGCACCCGTTCCAGCTTGACAATGATGATGGGGTCAACGATGGAGTGGGAAAGATTTTTGTTTGGCCTCATACGATAGATATCCCTAATAGCAGGCGCAGGCGTGTGATTTAGGCTGAGGCACAAGTTGTTGAAGATGTGTTTCAGCTTTTCACCTTCGACGTACGGAACTCCGTGGATCCTCAGGTCGCATGCGACATTGGCCTTAGCCTGTGCATCTAGTTTTAACAAAAGCTGGGCTTCCAGATCCTCTACCTTTTTTGTAAGGTTTTGAGTCTCACCCAGCCTACTTTCTAGAAACTGGACTCTCTGTGTGAGATTCTGGATCTCACCAGCCATACTATTAAGCTTGCCTGTTAGCAAACTTAACAGCCGCTCTTCTGCCTCATTCATCTTTGTTGAAATGAGACTGACTTGCTCCTCAAATCGTTGGTTCAAAAGCTGAACCAATTCCGGGCAGGCGTTTCTGATGTACGCGGTCCCTTCAGATTTGTTCCAGTATTTTCACGCAGACGTTTTGAGACAGGCTGCATTGTTTTGATTATGTGCTTTAACAGAGGCGAGGCTACACAGAATGTTGGTGCACTATTGGTGGGCGCCCTCTAGCGCGAGCTTTTGCAATATGCGTGGCAGATCGATCGCTAACAGCTGTGTAATGTCACCTCTAGCGCTGTTGTTTTCGTTGTTTACGTTCGTACTCACGTTTCCCACTCAGTATTAAGTGAAAAATTTCGTTTCCCGCTTTTTCCGTGCCTTCCTTTGCCAAGTTTGAGCTACTTTCGAGTTACTCGATGACCAGTTTTTTAAAAACAATAATAAGCCCACGGGCCAGCCGGTGGTGATCCGCTGACAGTGCTCTGATGTTGGTAAGCACCTTATATCTGTATTGACCAGCAGCTGATGTGTTGTTGTTTGCAGGTTTCGCCGAAAAAAACACTTGTTGACGGAGCGTGTAACTTGCACGTCTATTCTGATTGAGTGATTATTCTGTGTCAGGTTAAAGTTGAAATTTCTTCAGCTTTAAGTTTCCGCTGTCGGGTCTGCCGAGGAGTACACGCGCTAAAGAAGTGCCAACGCTTTCTTACGCTAAACGCGGAAAAGCGTCTACGGGAAGCGATCAACAAGCACTGCCACAATTGACTCCGGGCGCTCATGCCGAAGCGGCGAACAATGCCGGCTGTGCCGAAAAAACCACCACCCACTCCTCCACCTGGGCGGATCGCGTTAGTCTTCACGTACGAAGTCACGCTCTCTTCCATTGAGGGCATGCTCGCCAACAGCGAGATCGACCTCCAGATCCGCTTCTCTTTCGACGACGCTGGCATCGCTTCTACAATCCAGAAGCACCAGCATCCTTCCCACGGCATGGGTCGTGATCGACACAGGCCACAAGACCTTCTAGCGCACGAGCACTTGTGAGTATTCTTCGACAAAGTGTTTGGGTCGTAAACGCTAAAAAAGTCTGCAGCCAGACAGTTCGATCGTGTTTCTGCTGTTTTAAATGCTAGCCCCGACTGCTGACGCAACTTATGGGAAAGTTACCACTCAGACCTGCTCCGTGTTCTCCACCCATTTTCAATTTGCGGCGTTGAATTTTTGTGGACCAGTCTTTACGACATTAAAAATTCTATGAAGGCCTCCATACAAGTCGTATATTGCGCTTTTTGCTCCTTTTGCGTCCAAAAGGTTCGCTTCAAAATTGTATCAGACTTGACCACTGACTCACTTTTATTGGCTTTCCAAAGGTTCGTTGGGTGCCGCGGATATCCCCCCTCCATCACAGCGCTCTGCGAATTGTCAAAAATCGCTGCTTACTTAATGCATTTAATGTTTAGGAATTCATCGAAATTAAACAATGATAATCAAAAGCAACAAAAATACTTATACAAATTGCAATTTGTTCAGAAAACAATTTTTCATAAAAAAAGGTATAAGAACAAAATCTATCATATAATGTTCTGTACTACAGAATGCCACAAAATGAAATGAAATAGGCGTTAAAACACACATTTTTAGACCAAATTTGAGATTTTCTGATTAATTTTTAATTCTTGAGGAACCTATTTATAGAAAAGTACAAGTGTGGAAACCATGCCACATCCTCTGGCTATCATTTAAAACAAACAGCATGCAATTTGGTGCGTGCGTTAGAGATAGCCGCTTACACACAGATTTTTTTCAAATTTATGGTATAGATTATCTACATTCAAATATCTAATTTCTTCCATTCTCTTGACTGCTTTTAACTTATTCTAGAAATTATTAACTATCGCAAGGTTTTTGGTTGGTTTTTTTATCCAATTTTTTAGTGTCGGGTCACATTGTCATCGCGGGCAAAGAGAGTGCAGACGAGTGTGCCATAACTAGATCGGCAAAGCCGATTGCGGACGAGGCTAGTGATATACCGAGCCCACTACGAGATTATCTCGCAGATGATGGGCCGTGCTAGAACGAGAGCAGACAGGCGGTACGACCTTGAGCTTAGGGGAAGAACGACGGCTCTCTTGGTCTCTTTAGAGCTCTCATCTGACATATGGATCGTCGATCCGTATACTTTGGCACCTGTGCTACATGTAGACTATGGTTGCAGGTGTCACGCAGTTGGTCAAAAGTAATGATGCAAAAACAAAGTTGCCATACGGACTGCCTCTCCATGACTCCTGTCGAAGTTGCATGGACGAGTGGACATTTCTGCCTGAGATAGAAGAGCTTTTGTAGATCCAAGGCAGCTGGTGGGTATCTCATTACCTGCCTTTTGCCGCCAAAGTTTTCCCACAGAAGGCATACTTTTCCTACCAAAACTCTCCTGAGTTTCAGGAAAAGCAAGGTGTGAACACTGACGGGAGCTATAACGGGTACTGTGTTATCGGCCGCATGGCCACGAGATACGGACTGCCCCTCCATGACTCCTGTCGAAGTTGCATGGACGAATGGACATTTCTGCCTGAGATAGAAGAGCTTTTGTAGATCCAAGGCAGCTGGTGGGTATCGCATTACCTGCCTTTTGCCGCCAAAGTTTTCCCACAGAAGGCATACTTTTCCTACCAAAACTCTCCTGAGTTTCAGGAAAAGCAAGGTGTGAACACTGACGGGAGCTATAACGGGGTACTGTGTTATCGGCCGCATGGCCACGAGATACGGACTGCCCCTCCATGACTCCTGTCGAAGTTGCATGGACGAATGGACATTTCTGCCTGAGATAGAAGAGCTTTTGTAGATCCAAGGCAGCTGGTGGGTATCGCATTACCTGCCTATTGCCGCCAAAGTTTTCCCACAGAAGGCATACTTTTCCTACCAAAACTCTCCTAGTTTCAGGAAAAGCAAGGTGTGAACACTGACGGGAGCTATAACGGGGTACTGTGTTATCGGCCGCATGGCCACGAGATACGGACTGCCCCTCCATGACTCCTGTCGAAGTTGCATGGACGAATGGACATTTCTGCCTGAGATAGAAGAGCTTTTGTAGATCCAAGGCAGCTGGTGGGTATCGCATTACCTGCCTTTTGCCGCCAAAGTTTTCCCACAGAAGGCATACTTTTCCTACCAAAACTCTCCTGAGTTTCAGGAAAAGCAAGGTGTGAACACTGACGGGAGCTATAACGGGGTACTGTGTTATCGGCCGCATGTCCACGAGATACGGACTGCCCCTCCATGACTCCTGTCGAAGTTGCATGGACGAACGGACATTTCTTGCCTTTGGCCGCCAAAACTATCCTAGGTAAGTTAGTAGAAACCCAAAAAAACTCCAGGTATTCCAGTATTTTGATCGAAAATTAATCCAATTTTTGATATATCAGTGATAATTTTAGAAACGCCATTTAAAACAGTTGGTTGGTTTTTATTTTAACGATTGAACGTGTTTACTTTCTGTGAAACAACCTTAGTACAATTTATAGAAGGTCGTTTCTGCCTTTGACACTTTGATAATAAACACTTTAGTTTAATGATATATGTATATAATAAAAGTGAATTATAGTTGGATACGTTAAGAATGTCTATGAAAATACTACTAAGCTTCGGAATCCTTCGGTTAGCAGACGCCTTTAATTATTTAACTTTTATGAGTTTTCGCTAGTTTCTGGCGTACATTAATGACTTCTATAGTTCTTTTGAATTAAAATATGTTTTAATGTACAATTTGTTCTTAATTCGCAGAACATTTTTTCTACAGAACACTGCAATAAAGTTTCGAGAGTTATTTCAAAGGCTAACTTTTAGAAATTGTTTTATATTGACCGTGCTTTCATACGTCAGATGTAAATGATTTTTTTTTTATAAATTATTTTTATAAAAGTGTATTATAACCTTTTTTTATTAGTAATTTGAACAGTGCTGACGTGGTAAGTTACACAATAAGCGGGTGATATTTCATTTGCTTCCAAATGTGGATGTATGTTATTGTACACATGTACATATATGTGTGTACTAGTAAACAAATCTAAGTGTCAGGTTAAAGTTGAAATTTCTCAAAATTATTTAAAATTTGTTTAATTTTACTTTTAAATGTCTCATATTTCCTAGACGGTAAGTTTAAGCTAAAGTTTTTTAAGAACGATTGATTGCTGCATTAAATAGCTTTTTAGAACTGCGAGAAATTCTTTAAAACTATGTTTAGCATATTAAAATTATATGGAAAAACGCAATGATTATAGAATTCTAGCTAAAATAAAAAGTCAAACTTTGTTGATTAGTGTTATTAATATCGTATCGTGTTGTACTGTATTTAAAAAAAACTTTGTGGGCGCATGCACACAATAGCTGAAAGCGGAGCCGAAAAAATCAAACACACTGCTCCAGTGCAAGTGCGCACATTGCTGCTTAGCTGAGCTGAAAGCTCGCCCAATGATCAAGCATGTCTGTTTTTATCAGCTAGCTGATTCAGTTCCGCTTTCAGCTAGTGTGTGCGTGCGCCCTGTCCGTTGAAACCCGGAAAATCTTGTCCAATCTTAGGAACATTTTGGCGAGACATCTATTGAAGTTTGATCCTTTGAGCACATTTTTTCTTCATTTACAAAACATAAAAATGGACTAGCTTTGAACTATGATATAAAAAAAATGTTTATAATTATCAAATTTACGCGACTGAGCGCTGCGCTCCTGTCCGGCAGAGTGGGTAACCTATTTCAATTTACTCGTTCGTCAGAAATCTCTCTGCTTGTAACTCTAAACCCTTAATGCTATGTTCTCACAAGTTTTTGTTAAGTTCTGAAGAAATAAACTGAATTTAATGTTCATGTTCCATATATAACTTGCATAAAATCTCTTATTCTCATTCAACATTTTTCAGATTGAAGATAATAAATATGAAGATACACCGCGGACTGTTCAAGTAATTCGAAATAATTTGTTATTAACAGTTTAGGTCAACTAATTTTCTAACTGATTTTGAAGGTTAATTTGGTAGGTAGTAATATCATGCCCAAGTACATATAAAAATGTTGGAGCAA